CTCAGCTGTATCACCATCGCTTTGGACAACGGACACAAGATATCTAAATGCCACTAAAAATATTAATGTGGGAAAAAATGTTACCTTTCTCAGCTGTATCGGTATTTTCGGCTCGGCGGACTGTAATTTTGTCAGCATTTCCCTTTCCGAAGGTGAGAGAAACAGTACCGAATTCCCTCCGGAAGCAAAACGTGCAGTTCGGCCAACTCTGTGAATGTAAGCTGCAACATCTTCAGGGCAATCAACCTACATTGGGAGAACAAACAGTGGAGTATTCCTCTACAGAAATATGCTATAAAAATATTAGGAAAAGTAAGATTTACATGCATTCCACTCATTTCTATGTATTTACAAATCTAACACTTAAACTTCAATTTTTACACAGGCCATTTTACATATGTATGAAAAGGTGTGTTTCGCTTTTTAAAAGTACAAATAATGGTATTTTTTATGTAATATGAAATATTTTGGTGGTATAAATGTAAAGAAAAAATAAAGTTTAGGTGTTAAATATGTAAATATATAGGAATTCGGTGGTATGTATATAAATGCCGCATTGGAAACCGCCTGTCACCTGAATCACCCAATCTACTGCAGGAAAGTCCAGTCCTCTAGATGCCACATCAGTTGAAAATAGCACTGAAGTGGTCTCACAAAAATCCAAATATATTGCCATCCTTGTGTTCTGCTTCATATTCCCATGCAGACATTTTAAAGGAATACCAGGGCGAAGTTTCTTGAATGCCTCATAGACAAATTTGACCTACTAAAAGTGAAGCAATTCCAAACATCAGTAAGGATATTGAGGAGAGAAAAAGGCAATAAATAATGTAAAAGCAATAGATTAAAAGAAAGGGAAATTTACATAAATAGCACACAGTTCTTATGTATTTACATATTTACATAGATAACACTTTGGTGCTTTAAACCTATGCATCAAAAAGGTGTATTTCACTTTTTAAAAATGTTAGAAGTGCTATTATTGATGTGATATTAAATATTTTAGCTTTGTGTGTAAATATGAAAGTTTAAACATAAAAATTGAGTGCTACATATGTAAATGCCCCAAATTTGTATCAATTCGGGACGGATAAACTCCAGTAATTTTAGAAAAAATTACCTGTTTGCAGGTCGAAAGGAACACAATCATCTTAGAACGAAGATGTGATTTAATGAAACTCCATAACACATTTAACTTTTGATCAAGAGGAACCTCCATTGCTACCTGTTTCAAGCGTTCGGGTGTCGCTGTTATCGATTCCGAATGCACACTAATGTACTCTGGATCTTTCAAACTAAGCCTTGCGAGATCTTTAACGGACTTGGTTTGAGTGGCAGAGAAAAGTAAGGTTTGTCTCCTTTTAGGGAGCTGAGAGATTATTGCATCTAATTCTCCTTTGAACTTCTTATCAAGCATCCTATCAGCTTCATCCAGAACGAGAACCTGTATACTGACCAGGAAATGAAATATTGGGTAAATATCTTATGTTCCAAATACAAGATATAGATATGGATAACTTGCATACATAAGCACCCTCGCCCCCTCAACCTCCCCACAACCCCCCCTGCACTCCACACAATTCTATGTATTCACAAATTTAACACCCAAAGTTTGATATTTACACTTCTGACAACTTGGAGTCATAAACCTATGCATGAAAAGGTGTATTTTTTTATTAAAAATATAGTGATGATGGTATTTTTATGTGATGTTGAGGATATGAGGGGTGTGCATGTAAATATGTATTTCGGTATAAAATATGTAAATATATAAGAATTGTGTGATATGTAATTCCCCACACATATATATAAAAAATGATTGATTTAGTGACCTGAAGATGTGAACAGTCAAAGTTGAGTGTCTCATTCATGTGTTGAAGGAGACGACCAGGTGTGCATATCAAGATGTTAAGAGCATTAACGCGATCCTTTTCGGCATCAACATCTTTACGCCCACCAATTAAAAGGCCTGCACTAAGAGTATGATTCTTTCCAATTATTTTCAATTCTTCAAAAAGTTGCCCTGCTAATTCCTTTGTTGGGGATATTATAATGCTTCCAACACCATCCTCAGGACACCATCTTGCTCTATATAATTTTTCCACAACCTGAAGAATAAATCATTTTTTTGCCTATTTAAGGGACAAATTTAAGAAAAAAAGTGAACTATATCATTTAAAACATTTGCAAAAAAACTATGAAACTGCAAAGTGCTAAAAAAATATAAATGACAGATTTTTAATTCAAGTTTTAAAAAAACACATTGCAAGTAAGATGATGTGAAATAGCTGTCAATATAGTTCTCATAACTCTGCATTTCCAAGGGAATGTGATGGGTGCATTGAACTCCTTCAATGTGCAGGCAAGGAACCGGAGGGATATTTATTCAGAAAACAGTAAGTGTGTTAAATTATAACCAAACATTATGAGTATTGGTGCAAATGCCAAAGTTTATTCTAATAAAAAATACATAACATATGTGTTAGGCAATTGGATATCAAATTTGAGCATTGATTTTAATTTTAATGATTTTACTTGCTTGAGACTATTTGGTTGGTGGAATTTATGGTGTGGTGTAAATGAAATTCAGGGGTTTTCAAAATTTTGATGTTCAAAACTGATGTGTTCCAAATTTGCCAAATGTTGGCAATTTCAAATGCACGGTAAATTGTAGCCATTATAGCAACTGGAACCACTAGCCCCCCATTGATAGCACCACCCATCGTGGTGGTGGTAGCAATTTAATTTTCATTTTTCTTCAAACAAAATACAAAAATATAAACTTCTACATTTATTTTACACCAATCCAAATAACTCCAAAATATTCCAAGCACATTACTTTAATTACCCTACATCTTTCTATATTGCATTCTTTTTACAGCAAAACAAATAGCCCCTTAGTTTTTTTTTTTCCATTTTAGTTCATTGAAAACATGCATATGGTAAGTTGATACAGAGAATGTATTGTATAGTATTTCTAATTTGTTTACGCACAAAATCGATGGTTTTGTGTGTTGATTTGGACTTAGCCTGGTTCAATTCAAATTTGATTCACTATTAGTTATCAAGTTTGAAGGTTGGACATTTGTGATTATTTTATTATCAGTTGAAGACTAGGATCGTTCAATTCGTTATCTACGGTTTCTTGAGTTCATTGTTTGCAACTTTCATACTAATGAGTTTGTTTGGAAGATTTAATTCATGACTATCAGTCATGGCCTGCACTTGTAGAGAATCATTGATTCAACTTTTGTAGCAGCCGTGCATTACAAATACTTTCTGAAACAGGAAGTCACTCACAACTTATCTTACTATAGCATTGCTCGTAATCATAGAATGTACCAATGAATGAGAGAAGAGATGAAAAAGGTACAGCACAAAAAAGTGATTTATAGTAATTTGGCTACTTGCATTTTGTCCACCTAGCAAGGTGGATTTTCCACTATTCATGACGTGTAGAGTTCGAGGGGTCTGTAGGATAGAAGAAATTGAAGAATCATCCAGACTGAATAGGTTTTCATGGGAGGAGATTTCTAGCCTCTCTGAATACTTCCCACTAGATTTTTCCACCCTGTGGGTATTTCTTTTCTCAAGTTCAAAATATTCTAGCGCTACAAAAGCTCTCCAGGCTCCCCTCTCTCTTCTCCTGGCCTTCTAGTGTTACCTCCTCCTCTCTACCTTGCTTTTTATGACTCCTTTGTTTACAATCCCAAATGGAATTTATAAGCACTAAACAAGCATAACTTGGTGTTGGCAAGGACAAGTCTCACAAAAAAAAGACATAATTTACATGAAAGATATAAATTAAGCAAGAGATAACTCCAAAGGGAAGAGTCCTCAATGTCTAGCGTTAAATAGTAAAAGCACACTGGACCTTTAACAAAGTCATAATTGTGTCTCAAAAATAGTCAAATCCAAAATTAGTCCTTGTCTGAGTTGATCATTTGAAACAGCCTAAGTAGGGCAGCCAGGAACTACTACGGGTTGAGAGAAGTATACAGATCTCATAAGAGGAGTGTTGTGTAATAAAAAAAACGTTCAGCAAAAAGGAAGAGCTCATGACAGCTCAAGTAAACTTAAGTAAACATTCAGAACTTCTTTAGTCATTTGACACATACTGAAGAAAAGAATCAATTGTCAAATTTCACTTTGTTTTGGAAGCTTTGTAAAGTTTCCAAAAAGAATTAAAATTGTTCATTCTATTTTTGTTATAAAAATTGATTTGTCAGAGAAAATAATGTGAAAGAAAACGTCAAAAATAAGAAGTTTTGTTATAAACATTGATTTAGATATAAAAACTTGGAGAATGTGAAAAAATATAAGTTTGTCAGTAAGGAATCTTAAGAATAATTTATGATTCTAAAAATTTTACTTTTAGTGATATTTATAATAGATTAGATACTAAAGAAGGTGAATGAGATATGTATAAACTAGCTAGGAAACGAGATAAGAAAAGCAAATATTTAGTTTAAGTATAGTGCATTAAGGATGAAAATTAAAAAGTGCATTTCTTAGATGAGGATATTCAACGTATGTGTGTGGGATATTTTGATAAACTTTTCAATGAAGATTGTGAAAATATGATCGATTTTATTGATCTTAATATCGTAAATAATAACATTTTTTTTTTATTTTCATCATCGCATTAGTAAAATCGAAGTTGATGCAGCTTTAAAGAAAATGATGTATGTGTTGGATCTATGGTATTCCAATAGAAATATGAAAATGTACAGGAGATATGAAAATTTTTTAGCTCATTAAACTTTTAAATATTATTTTAAAAGCTAAAAAATGTCTGATGAGTGGAGAAAAAATACATTTGTTTCTATGTTTAAGAATAAAGTTACGACGAGATACAAAAATTTCTCAAAATCCTGGCAAGTCTACTATGAAAGTTATAAATTTATTAAGAGGTTTGATGGAAAAATACAAAGATAGTAAGGAGGATCAACATATGATTTTTGTTCATTTGGTAAAAAGCTTATGAAAAAGATTCTAAGAGAACTCGCTTGGTGAATTCTATAAAGAAATGGGTTGATATTGCTTATATTCAAGACATTAAAGATATGTATACTAGAGTTATTACTTATGTTCAAACATGAGGATTGAGAAAGTATTATTCGATTTCAGTTGGATTACATCAGGGATTAGCATTAAGCATGTATCTTTTTGCTTTAGTTATGGATGTTCTTACTGGAAATATACAGAAAGACAAACCTTGGTGTATCTTTTTCGTTGATCAATATCCTTCTTGTGGATAAAATAGGAGAGAGTTCCAAAAAAAAACTTGAATTATGGAGGTCAACTTTAAAGACTAAAGGCTCTTGTTTGCGTAGATCTAACATTGAATACATGGAATATAATTTTAGAAGTAGATGTAGTGTTTGGTTTATAACAATGGGCGATAAAGTCATCATTAAAATGAGTGAACATTTTCGATATCTCAGGTCTATTGTTCGAAGCGATGAATATATAAATGGGGATGTTATTAGTAGAATTTAAGTTGGATGGTTGAAGTGGAGGAATGCATGAGGCATATTGTGTGATAGAAAAATACTACTTAAACTTCAATGAAAATTTTATAAGATGGTGGTAAGACAAACTTGGAATGCTTTATGGCGTTGAATGTTAGCCTATAAAAGAGAAGTATAAAATTAAGTTAAGCGTTGATAAGATGAGAATGGTCAGATGGATGAGTGGCTTTACACTTCAGCATTGTATGGGTAAGTTTCTCCATTCATAAAAGTTCCTTCAAAAGCAACTTCGAAAAATACTATGGTATAAAGTTATTGTTGTTGAAGCCATTACTGTTTGAATACAAAACCTTATGCATGTATTTCAAGATTAAAAATTATTCATTGACCTTTGGTTGCACTATTAATTGTAACTTTTTTCATATAAATGACTAAAATATCCCTAATAATTTTAAATTGCATATTTAACCTTCAAATTCCTAGAGCCTCAATTGTGATCTCAGAACCATCTGATTCAAAAGATGAGCTTCCTCTGAGATGAAAAGGCTTGCGATGAAACCAAGGAATTCTAACAAGTCGAGGCCCTAGAAAAGAAAAACCAATCGTCGTGACAGAAGCAAGGAAGAGTAGAGGGCTTCTAGGAACACCTAAGGTTTCAAAAAACGAGAACTTGCGGTAGATACAGTAGCTTGAGAGCCTTGACCCGGATGAATTGGCCGAAAATGGGAGGTCGATTAAAAGGAAAAATGAGAATTACGGAAGAGGAGGCGAAACAGGGGAATCGAAGCGAGAATACATGTGATCACTCTTTTCGAGGATATTTTGGACTTTTCGATTTACAAAATAGCGGAATGGAGGTCCAAAAGCGACTCTGAATTCACAATTTGAAAACAACAATAAATGACATTTCGGGTAAATCGTTCTTAGAGAAGTTGACTGGCCAAACAGACGCTCTCCATTCTCTCAGTTTTCTCTGTGACAAAAAGAAGGCTAGACACCCTAAACATAAGGTCTTAGAGGCAAAATGTGAAACGAATGTATCCGTTAAAAGATTGGAGTAGCTCCAGTGGCAGACAAGATTAGAGAGTCGCTCTTGATGATTTGGTCACATTACACACCGACCATCTAATGACCCAATTAAAAGAGTAGAAGATTTAGATTTGATTTATGTTTAATAAAGGTAGAGGTAGACATAAAAAGATTTGGGAAGGTTTCTTGTTTTTATTGTTATTGTTGTAGTAGTTATTGTATATTTGTATTTGAGGTTTGAATACAAGTTATAGCCATAGGCAATCTCAACCAATAATGATGAGTGAAAGAAGAGAGCTTCTAATCTAAGAAAACATATGTGGATTGAATTATGATCGAAGGGATGATAGATGAGAACTTAGCAATCGTGTAGAAAACCTTGAAAGACTAGGATATCTTGAGGTCACATGGATATAGTACAATCTTGAGTGAGCCAAATATCATATCAAGAAGGGTTAACATGGGTTCAAGCAAAATGACCATGTGAGCATGTTCGAGCATCTTCATGAGAAATTTTCTATCAGTATGAAGAAATGTTTAAGAATTGTACTATCAATCTTCAATAAATAGGCATTAATATAAATAATCAAATTTATGAGTAAAAT